CATGAATCTACCCAACGATTATACCTAGTCCACCCTTTATAATCACAATCACAAGTACTTAGGGAAGGGGCGTCTACCATCCCAATGGCAGTGACGAGTCCCTCCCCAGGAATGGTATACCAACCCTAGTTCGAACTCCAGGCGTACGATAGTGGTCGCATTACCAAATGACAACTCACTACAAGTGCAAGAAACCATCTCCCCCCCCCCCACTGGGTTCAACTGACATTTACACTCTACGGCATATCTCGTAGGTAATCCAAGTCCCTCACAACCACCATACAATGAGTAAACCAACATATTCTCAATCAATTCACATTTTACCAATTAATCGCAAAATACCCAAATTTCACAAGTAAAGCGTCATAGCAAGATGGAATTAAAATGAGCAAAAGATCAATATAAAGATCATTTTCGTTGAACAATATCGAACACTAATTTATAAAGTGAGAACCAAGGCAATATATGGAGAAAACTCAATTTTTCTTAAAACCAAGTTTGGAAGATGAAAAAGAGAAATTTAGTGGTTACCAACCATCCCATTATTCAAACATAGCATTTATTACAAGGAGAATTAAGAATCATACAAATCATATCAAATAAATATGAATGGGAGTGGAAAACATATGTATATACATAAACCCTAGCCTCAATGTAAGAAATTAGGAAGAAATCCCCTACCTCTTGGTTGTAGCTTCAATCTAAGACCCAAGATTCAAAATCTTCCTATTCTCCTTCCTTTTCCTCTTAATTTCGTCCTCCTAGGGTTTCTAGAGATTTGGGTGTGAGTGGTTGAGGAATAGAAGCAAAAGAAATGGGTGGAGAAGGGAAAACTTGAGAAATTCGGTTTTGATCTTTATGAGGTGGGAATCTCTCTTGACCTTGGTGTTTTTCTCTCCCTTTTCTCTTCTCTTAGGGCTCTAAGGTATTTAGAGTGGGAGGGAAATGAAGAATGGGAGAAATAGGGCTTGGAATGGATGTTTTAAAACCCAAAAATCCTGACTTTTACTGTTTATCGTCTGTTTTGGGGTTTTCCAGACTTACTGTTTTCCTTATTTTGATCATGATAAACTTTGAATCTGAAAAAGTGCAAAACATGAACGTTGTAGATCTAGATGTCTTCTGCATTGTGTCAAAATTTCAGCTCAATCGGACCATTGTAGCAAGAGTTATGACGATTCTACGACAACTGGTCCGGAGTAGGCAATGTACCCGGAGCAGCGCCCCAGCGCCCATTTGGGCGCCCCTTTTCACTTCCAATCCTTCCAACTTTAATCCTAACTTATCTTACATACTTTTCTACATCGACCTAATTAGTTCAAGTTCTTTTATGATTTATTTTGTACATTTTCATACCGAAACTAATCTTTTAACTACTCTTTCCTTGAGTTATACTATTTTAACATTTCAAATGAAATAATTACTGAACACCTATGTTTTTTATTTTTTTATTTTTATTTTTTTTTTACGCATGTGGGGTATTACATGATCCTCCGACGACTTGTAATTAACCTTCTCATCTACATCGACATCCCCTTCTATGTCCACATCTGTGTGTTGTAGAGGGTGAGCAAAAGCCCATAAGAAATTCCTCTCAAATCCCAACAAGGTTTTTAAGCATAAAAAGAAGGCAAGTCTTTTTTGAAAAATAACATATATAAATTTTTTAGAGTAAAACCATGACAGTTGTAATGATCTCAAGTGTATGGAATACAGTGAATTAATAATAGGAATAACCATGCAAGAAATTAAAACAATCAATAATTAAATCAGTAGCATCATCTCATATTCTCATTTATGTTGGTTCATCCCCATTCTCATTTATGTTGTTTGCTTCTCAGGAATCTGTATAACAATTCTACCTCATTCACTCATCACAACTACGTAATCTCAATCATACCCTGCATGGCCAAATCACAAACCACTTTAGAAATGGTATATACCGTTTCCCACGGCATTGACAAATCTTTCCAAGGAAAGATATATCATCCCTCAGCCTCGAACTTACGTGAACAATATTGGTTGCTCTCACAAACAATAATCCACTATAAGTGTTAGACAACCATCTCACCCTCACTAGGATATACTAACCTCTAACATTTTACTATAGCTCTTGACAGTAATTCAAGTCCGTCACAACAAACCATATAAGAGATGAAACCATAATTTTCTCAACAATTGTAATATTAATCAATCACAATTTACATTAACAATTCAAGCATCATAATTTCACAATTCTCAATATAGTATAGTAATAAAAGAAATAAAATATGCAAGAGATCATATCAAGAAAACCTTCACAATTTTGATATTCAAAATTCAAGAATTTTGCCAAAAATTAATTTCTTGGAACAAGAACAAGTATTAGATGAAAACATGATTTAATAAAGAATAGGAATTTAGAAATCAAGAATCCATGTATTTTTTATAACCAAACATGTATTTAGCAAAACTAGGGTTTTAAAAATTCAAGAACAAGTATTCTTTGAACTCAAACTTGTATTTTGTTCAAAACTATGTTTTGATGATAAAGAAACCAAGAACTCATAAATATTTATCATATAACTATTAATACAATTGAAAACATACATAGATAATACCCTAAGTCTCAATGAAAGAACTCAAGAAGAATCGTCTACCTTTAATCCGATAATTGAAGATAACCCTAGCATATTTGAATCAATCCCGAAGTGAGAATCCTCCTCATGTCTCATCTCTTTCTTCCTCTCAAGCTTTATAAGGTTTTTTGGATGAAAAGTTGCTGAACATAGGCCTAAAGGTCATTCCCTAGGTATTTATAATGCCAAAAGTGGAGAAAAAAACTCATCAATGATTGTCCAAGTTCTGCTTTGTGCATCCGAACGCATGTTTCTCCCATCTGGACGCGTCTAACCTTTTGTTCAAACTTTGGATGATGTTTTGACCAAGTTGGAAGCTGATTCACGAAATTTTCATGAAATATATTTTTGTAGCTCTTAAAGTTTGTTTTCTAATCTCCAAAAATCAGCTCAATCAAAGTTATGAGTAAAAAGTTATAACTAAAATACTAAAGTAGTGTCAAATTCCTTTCTACCCAAATCTTCTCCAAAATAGGTTTTAACTTCGAAATACTTCTAAACTTCTAATATATATCTCATATAACCTCTTACAATGTTTTCAAACCTTCCAGATTCATTAGAGACCTTATTTTGACCCAAAAATATGTACAAAATTATTTAGTCACCTTTCTCAAACTTAAACACCTTTAAAACTAAGTTTGATCTGAAAGTCAATTCGCCTAAAACTCAAATTTCACGATCAATCTTTCAACAACAATTCGAGATTTCTACCATCTATTTATTCATCATAGGAAAAATATTAAGATGATATTATTCTAATTTAATTCTAATACGGGATCTTACATTAACAATATCAAGTAATGTCATAATTTGGCAGTATGATGTCATGTCAAATTTTTCATTATAATTTTAAATTGAACAACCAGACCTATATAAACCATCATTCATAACTAGGTACACCATAGGAACAAAATGTCTAGACGCGCCTCAAATAGACAATTCAGCTAAACTATCGAACATTCTTCATCATGTAATGAACAACATAATTTATCTTCTGCCAACGAACGTCAACGTTCGACTGACCAAGCAGTATTCTGGAACATAATTCCTTCTATTGGATCCTACACAAATTTTGATGGTGTAACCTGGTATGGACGAAAGCATGAGTTCTGTAATAAGTCCATTGACACTTATGATGTTGGATATGTAATTGTTGAACCTATGACCTACAATCCACCTCCGGGTGCTCATATCACACTACAACAAAAATCGTTTTTTGCGACAATTTTTTTCGTCGCTCAATTAAAAACAATCATCGCCAATTATATTTTGCGACGTTTTTTTTTCGTCGCGTGTTCGTTGCAATAGCCTTGTTGCAGAAAGTATTTTGCGATGCAAATTTATTTTCATTGCAAAAAAAATTTTTTTACGACGAAAAAAAAACGTGGCAAAAATCTATTCCACCAACGTAAAAAAATAAAAAATAATTTAATTCATTTTTCACGACGTAAAAAAATCGTCTTGAAAATTTTTTTACACAAATAAAAATGTAAAAAATAATAATTTATTTCATTTTTTGCAACATAAAAAAATCGTCGCTAATAATTTTTTACATAAATAAAAATGTAAAAAAAAATAATTTAATTAATTTTTCATGATGTAAAACAATCGTCACGAATAATTTTTTTCATAAATAAAAAATGTAAAAAATAATTGAATAAATACATTTGCAACGTATAAAAATAGTTGCGAAACAAATTATTCCTACAATTTTGCGTGACGATTTTAATTTCGTAGCAAAAGAGTTCTTTTTTAAAAAAAAAATAATTCATAAAAAATGATATTCCAATAAAATTTTTTACCGGGACACCAATAATAGTTGTGTTCAATAAAAAACTAACACAATTAATACATTTTACATCTTGTTTTAAAAAAGCAAAATTTTATTTCCAAAAAGAATGTATTACAAGAATCAAAAAACAAGAAATTCTAAAAATAGAAAAAATGGCTTTAATCCTTCAAAAGGATTTAAACCATCTCTAATTACATTTAATGTCTCTTAAACTTGAACAACTCCGGTAGTCCAGCTCCATGCCTTGAAATATCATCTCCAAACTTAACAGATCAGTACCAGGATCTGAACCACAATGCTGGACATGATCCACTGCATAAAACCATGGCCCCATCTAGGATCTGCATAAATTAGAAAAATTAGAAACAGGGTAGTAAAGCAAAAAATGCAAGCTGTATAGTTTAGAACATCAACTCTATAAATCATCTTTTTATCATAGAGATCCTAATAAGACATCACGAAGAGCAGACAACAACTAGCCATCATAATCTCCCTCAGAAAACTTGTTTTCTGGATAGAACACAGCCACAACCGGATTCCCACCAAATTTTCTACCATTTGGCCCGGTTCAAGTTTTTCGACCAAATTTTCTACCATTTAGGCCACCAAATCACTTTAACCAAAGAGAATACTTCCCCAAATGTCTCCAAACTGGTAAAAGATGCAATACAATGCATCAATACAGTATGCAGTTGTCATAACTATAGATTAACAGAGGGAATTTTTTAGGACATATACCTTATGCGTGCGAACAGAATGCCATTTAGTCGGACAAAGCGAATGCTGAACACTTTAAAAGTTTCGGGTATAGTGGATATTGTTGCCTTGACAACACTGGCTTCTACTCCATTATCTTTTAACGGAAGCCATGTTTCACCTTTCCCTCGTCCTTTCTCAATCATCCGCACAGGTGACAACTTGACAGAAGCAGCTTTAGCATCTCCAAACAGCTGCAAGTAACTCTGACAATTCTGCCAAAAAAGACTTTGTGAGTAATTTCCTTTTTCTTTCTCATACACAGATCAATTAAAACCACCCACTTCGTGTCTCATTTGTTCTGATGTATAGCAACAAAAATCCTCTTTCACCTCTAGTGGTTTACCCTTTCCTTCTTTATTGGAAACAAAAATCTGCATGCCATTGAATCCTATGTACTGTTGTCAATTGCTGGCTTACTGCACAATCACTATGAACATATTCAACTATTTGGTCAAACTGAATGCAACTGAACTGAAGGCAAGCATTTCAACTGAGACCTGTGCACTAAAAGTGCACTCTAACACAGACACTAACCCAGCATATTACTCGCTAGAGTCTGTGTAATAATAGCATAACTTCTAATTTTCAAGCATTAATTGAATCTAGATGGAGACGTTCTAGGTATTGCAAGTCACCAAAGGACCACCAATCCTTTGATGCCATGGATATTTCATGATATCTTATCTCTCTTCTATTTAGCGAATATATGTTCAATTAGCTTAAGAGCTAATCATTCCTGCCCCTACCTGCTAAACGGTCCTCAATCTATCTCCTCTTTCTGTTTCCAGAATACTAAAATAATATTACTTTTTCATACTTACCCTCGCCTCCCTGTGTTTCACCGAACATACATTCCTCAAGCAAAAGCATAAAGTAAGGTCAAACAGCAATTTAAGAGATTGAACTCAAATTCAACAATGTTTGCACTCATACTTCTGTACCCTACTAACAAGAAAAAGTTAACACTTACATGTCATTTACCTCAAACCTTTTTAAAATCGTCGTAAAAAATAATTTAATTATTAATTTTAAAATTTTTATTTACATAAAAAATTATTGCGACAATTTTCTAAACACGTCGCGAAAAATTACTTTAATTATTATTTTTAAAATTTTTTATTTACATAAAAATTTATTGGCGACGTTTTATAAAATATTGCGAAAAATTAATTTAATTATTATTTTTAAAATTTTTATTTACGTAAAAATTTATTGTCGACGTTCTTTAACAACGTCGTAAAAAATAATTTAATTATTAATTTTAAAATTTTTATTTACATAAACAATTATTGGCGACGTTTCGCGAAAAATTAATTTAATTATTATTTTTTATTTAATTTGTCAATTCCCGCCATTTCTCCCGACAAAAACAATTAGGAGAGAATCGCCTTTTCGCTAAAATTGCCAAAAATCGTCACAAATAGTAAACTTTTTGCGGCAAAATTAAAATCTTCACAAAAAAAAACGTCGCAAAAAATACTTTTTGTTGTAGTGTCGAACCCACACTAAGATGACATGAGTTATATGTCAAGCGTTGTAAGCTTGAAGTATTGACATTAGCATGAACTAGAGGTATTAAAGGCGCAATCGGCTGATATATATGTACCATCCACAAAAATCAAACAACCATAACGAGGTCATAGTAATGCTTGAATGTAAAAATAATCAGATGTAGCATCGGTTTGATCGTTTGCATGCAATCAAGTATTCAAAAATTGAGCATTTCGATCCTCACTATGCTGAGATTTAAATTTTTGAGGATCTGTTTCTTGTTTTAGATTTTAAACCTTCTAATTTTCTCTGATTTAAGTGATGATGCGTTAGACACTTTTATTCCATAAAGTTTATGTGTATGTGGTCATCCTCTATGTTTTTATAAACATCAACCACATTATTGACAGATTGTAATTTATGCACTATAATGCAATAAATTTATAATTTTTTTTTATGCATAAGTTGAATCTTCCATAGAATTATTATCAATGGATATATTTGCATAGTTTGTACACTTTTGGTGGACAAATGACATTATTCATTAAAATCTTAAGACATTGTTTTGGAATTCACATATTTTTTAGTGAAAAATGAAAATTGAAGACATGATGAATTTTATCACAGAAAAAAATTATTCCAAAAATAATTTAAAAAATTTTTGTTTCATGTCGTATTAGCACATGATACTTTGTATTTCATATACAAAAAATTATTATTATTTATTAACATTATCATTAAAGCCAATTGTGAAAATGTTAACAAAAAAATTAAACGCACTCTACATTTGCAAAACAAAAAAAATTTGTGCAAGATTTCACATTTTTGTCTTCCCATAAAAGGAACGCTTGAAAATATTTAGTTTGGAAAGAGGATAAACATAATATCTTTTGTTAAAAAAAAAGCGTAAGCTAGACCGACGTCTTTAACTTAAAATCGTCATCCCAACTGATGTTATGTTTATAAAGACGTCATTTGGACTGACATTTTAAAGTTAACAACGTTAGTCAACTAATGTTTGTTACATTGGTGGGACAGTTATAATGGCCAAAAATGTCACTCCAACTGACATTTTTCAGTTAAAGATGTTAGTTGGAGTGATGTTTTTAAAACTATATGGGTTTGGAAATTAGTTTCAAAGTCACCCAGTTTTGGGTATAACTTTCCAAAATTGGCTAGTTTTGGGTAAAAGCTTAGTAAATAATGTTAAATATTTAATGATAGCATGAAAGGACTTGGAATTTTTCTTTTTCATAAGGGAAAATTGTCAATCAAAATTTTTTTATTTTTATTGACATTTTATAGTAGTACTAGTTATTGCCCTTGCTTGAAAGTACAGAGTAATAAAAAAATTGACAATCATAAACATATTTGTTCATTTTTATTGACATTTTATAGTAGTACTAGTTATTGCCCGTGCCTGAAATTACAAAGTGATAAAAAAATTGTCAATCATAAACATATTTGTATTCACGCTTAAAATCAAATCACAAACATAGAGGAGATAAAAAGAAATATAAGCACCGGTTGTAGTGGGGGTGAGCAATGGTAGTGGTGGTGGGCGATAGTGGTAGTGTAAGACCATGTACTAAAAATTAAATAAGAATACTAATATCTTAAGAGTTTTTCAAATATGAATAAAATGAGGGTAAAAACTTAGAATCATTGTTGAAATATTAATCATGAAGTTTGAGTTTCGAACGGATTGACTTTTGGGTCAAACTTAATTTTGTTTTTTTTTGAATGTGTTTAAGATTGATAAGGGTAACTAAATAAATATATTAATTTTGTTTTATCAAAATAACATTACCATTGAATTCGGGAGGTCAGAAAACATTGGGAGAGGTAATATGGGATGTATTAGAAGTTAGGAAGTATTTTAGAAGTAAAACCAAATTGGAGTGAAATTGGGTAAAAAGGGGTGATGGAAACTGCTTAGTATTTTGATCATAACTTTATATTTTGACGTCCAATTGATCTGAAATTTTGACAGAAAATAGTAGACATCTAGGGCTACAAAAGTGTATTTCATGCAATATTTCCAATTCGACCTCTAAATGGGTCAAAACTGACTTGGAAGTCGCACCAAAAATCTGTGAACAGTACGAAGGAAACCCGATTTTTCTGAACAGAAAATATCGGGTTTTGCTCGATTTTCTTGCCCTATAAAAATCTAATGTCGTCCCTTTAGCATTCATTTCACCCCTCCAAACCCTAGGAACCATTTTAGAGGAAGAGAGGAAGATAGAAATACCAATAAAGAGGGATTTATACCTTGTAGAAATCAAAACTTCAAATTCTTCAAGAATACATTCTCCTCCCATTTTCTTCCATTCTTGCTACCCTCTCACCCAAATCTTTTGAAACCCTAGGAGGAGAAGATTAAGAGGAAAAGAAAGGAGAGCAAGAAGGTCTTGAAGCTTGGGTCTTAGCTTGGAATCTTGATTTAAGGTAGGGGATTTTCTCTCGATCTCTCACATTGAGGCTAGATATATATCTATACATACATATATATATATATATATATATATATATATATATATATATATATGTACATAGATATATGTTTCTTCACTCTCCTTCTCATATATATAATATGAAATACATGATTCTTGTTCTATTTGTAATAAATGCCATGTTTTGAACAATATTAAGGGTGGGTAACCACCAAAGCTCTATTGATTTTTTTTTTATCTTCAAAGCCCTAGTTTTCAAGAAAAGGGGATTTTCTCCTAATTTCTTCTTTGTCTTTGATTTTAAAACTTTAGTGTTGAATATTATATAACAAAATGATATAGATTACGATCTCTTGCATATTTTCTTGGATTATTCGATTATATGACAAATGTGAAAACAAAATTGGGGATTTTACTATATTTGAGAAATTGTTGTGAATTGTGAATATTCTTGATTTCCTCATTGTATGGTTGTTGTGATGGACTTGGATTACCTTTTCTAGAGATGCCGTAGAATGTTAGAGGTTAGTCTATCCCAATGGGGGGTGAGATGGTTGCCTAATGCTCGTAGTGGATCGTTGTTGTGCTCGCGATCACTATTGTTCACATATACACCGAGGAAAAGGGTTAGTATACTAGACACCTTGGGAGGATTTCGTCAATGTCGTAGGAGACGGTACACGCCCTTCCTAAAGAGATTTGTGATTGTTGGTTGGAATTGGTGGACTAGGCATGATCGTTAGGTAGATTCACGAGAAGCAATCAACATACATGGTACGGGGATGAACCAAAAATACATGGAATCGGGAGTTGGGTCGTTCTTGCCGATGCATTGGTGTAGGACAATGCTTAGGGAGAAGTCCTTCTTAAATAGCTTAAATTAGAATTTTGTTTATCGATGCTAAAGTCACTTTATTCTTTTAACTGATTATTGATATTGTTTAAACTTGAGATCTCTTTTAAAATGTCACTGTTTTCATTCCAAACCTATATATATGTTAGTTGTGAAATGAGACCGACCGTTTGCTATGTTTTTCAAACCTTGTTTGAGTTGAGAAGATTTTGCTACAGAGCTTCGTGCTCACCCCCTACAAATAAAATTTTTTCAGATTTCACACTTGAGGAGGAGTTAGGAGCCGAGGAGTCCACCCATTGGAAGACTCCGCTTGACGGGGATGTGGATCCCAAGGTGGACGCTTAGAGCGACACTTTTATTTTGTTCTAGACTAGATTATGCTTAGAATATCCTTTTGAACTCTAGTTCA